AATACGTAAAACGAGTGTGCTGTACTTGACAGTATACTCCACTGGTCTGCTTTGATTCTACTGGTCTGCAAAAAACACAACACATGAATTGTGTACACTTACATCTATAATACTGTCTATCAAAAAATAGTTTGATCTCATGAGAGGTACACTAGATGGTTAATATTTATTTTCACTTAAACTTATACCTTTACATTTCCAATCCAATAAAAAACGTACATTTGCTCTGAATACATGTGGTAAATTTTCATCTCCTTGTCTGACTCCCTTTCAAGGATGTGTTGTCTTCATACAACCTTAGTGCAGCTATTATATATTTGTAAATTGGTTTAATTGTAAACATGTTTATTTACACCTTGGTTTCTGAGAGCTTGGATGACTGCGTACATTTACACAAAGTAAAATTGCCTCTGTAGTCTGCAAAGGTTTAGGCACAATGCTATTTGATATTCCTTTAATTTTTACACCATCTGGTTGTCTACAGAAGAAAGTATTCAATCATTGCATATTACCTTGTGACACGTGGATGGGAAACATGGGCACTGACAAAGCAGCATGGAGAAATTAATGATTGGAATTTCACTGCAACAGATAAACTCACTGATCAGAGAGCAGACACAAGTTGGAGCCATAATTCTGATTTAAACAGGACCCTGCGGGGTGGGCTGGTAGGAATAATACTAATACCGGTACAGGGATATCGACCGGGTATAGAGGAGTTAAAAAGAAAATGATTTGTGCATGGGGGGTGAGCGATGACGTCCACACCCCCCTCCCCACTGACTCGCGCGCACACAGAGCAATGACGTCAACACCCCCCTCCCCACTGACTCGCGAGCCCACAGAGCAATGACGTCGACACCCCCCTCCCCACTGACTCGCGAGCCCACAGAGCGATGACGTCAACACCCCCCTCCCCATTGACTCGCGAGCCCACAGAGCAATGACGTCAACACCCCCCTCCCCACTGACTCGCGCGCCCACAGTGCGATGACGTCCACACCCCCCTCCCCATTGACTCGCGCACCCACAGCAAGGACTGCAACAGGCGATGTCATTGGCTGCGCCGGATGCGACGGCCATCTTGTTTAGTTCATTTAGTTCACGGATCGCAGGGGGAGCGGGCGGCCATCTTGTCAGACAGACGGACGGCCTCGCGAAGCCTGTCGCAGTAGGCCTCGCGAAGCCTCCTGCAGTAGGCCTCGCGAAGCCTTCTCTGCAGTAGGCCTCGCGAAGTCTTCTCTGCAGTAGGCCTCGCGATGCCTTCTCTGCAGTAGGCCTCGCGAAGCCTTTTCCGCAGTAGGCCTCGCAAAGCCTGCCGCACTAGGCCTCGCGAAGCCTCCTGCAGTAGGCCTCGCGAAGCCTTCTCTGCAGTAGGCCTCGCGAAGCCTGCCGCACTAGGCCTCGCGCCGTGCTTTTCGTGTACAAATAAGGCGATTAAATGTATCTTGTCTCTGTGTTAATAAATGTAGCTTGTCTCTGTTAAAAAAACGTGCTGCGTTTCAGTAAAGTAAATTTGAAGCAAAGTTTATTATTACACTTGTTAAGGCAGGAAAGCCCCACTGAGTCAAAAGGTTTTTGTAGGGTCCTGCCAAGTGTTTGCAGTAGGGGGCGATGTTGCTACACCAAATCGGACGATACGAAGGGAGAGATTGAGGCCTAGTTCTAGGCTTTAGGCCTAGCTGTAGGCTTTGTGGCGCTGTGAGTTAATTTTTAATTTAAATGTTTTAATGATTTATGTAAAAGCTTTACATTTAAATGTTTCTATTTAAAAACATGAGGGAATGTAACATTGTTAAACATAACTCCCTTTCACACACGCGGGGGTACGATACGAAGGGAGAGTTTCAGGCCTAGTTCTAGGCTTTAGGCCTAGCTGTAGGCTTTAGGGCGCTGTGAGTTTTTTTTATTTAATTTCAAAGTTTTAATTAAAAGCTATCTCAGGGAATAAGGGAATGTTACACGTGTCATGCCAAGTGTTTGCAGTAGGGGGCGATGTTGCTACCAGGATAGCGTCACTGAGTCTAAAGGTTTTTGTAGGGTCATGCCAAGTGTTTGCAGTAGGGGGCGATGTTGATACACGGACGGACGGACGGACAGTCGGACGGATGGACGGACACATGAATCTATTGGTGGTCTGGTCCACTTCGTTCCTACCAGTATAACAGTTCCCTAGGCCAGGACACGGTGCTCTGGAAGGCGTGATGGCCAGTGGTCGAAACTAAGGACTGGCAGTCAAATGAGCGAACACGTTCGAGAGAATGACTGCTGTTGAGATGGAGCAATGACATGAGCACGTGTGCGAGATGGATTGTTGCATCGGGATGAGGACCGCTTGGAGAGAAATGCATCCAGCAGTGGATATAGCGTGGTTGCTGATTGGAGGTACTGCACGTGGAGTTGCAATACAGCTGATCCAATTGGTGTGGATAAGTGGACATTGCGTATGGGTCAATACACGAGCCGTGTACATATTTCTAGATTTGAAGCTTTCGTGACTGCAAGGATTCATATTCTTAGGTTTTTTCGGTAAAGTCACGTAGGTAAAAAATTAATGAAAGTAGACTGCCTTCGGATGGTCTGGGCTCATGGAGAATGCAAAGTATTGAACCACCAGGCTCGAATACATTTGAATCATGAGAGATGTGTGCAGTACATAAGAGGGAGGTCAAATCACTTTACAGCGTTTTGGACTTGCAGCGTTTTAACGTTCCCAAGTGTTGTAGAGATTATTGTTTTATTATCGAGCCCGGTGATCAAGGGGAAGAGAAGACCTAAGGCCATATGGTGGGAGACTTGTTGGGGAAGATTTTTGGGTTCACGAGTGAACTGCAGTAGCTGCGGGATTTGGCGGAGGATCGAGGTGTGGTGGCATCATCGATCTTGGCGCCACGATAACTTGATGGTGATTGGTGGTGGTGATCTTTGACGTCGCTATGAATAATACCTGGGGGGTTCCATAAGTGGCCAGTGGGAGGCACGAGAGCGCTTCTGTGTGAAATCCCGTGCCAACTTGCCATTTCTGTTCTGAGAGCGATTACAGCCTGCAACCTGCTTCCCTGTCACTCGAACCAATTGGACCCCGTAATCATCGACGCGTGGGTGCAATCGTTTTTAGTTTAATGCGACTCAATTGCTCCCTTGAGACAGAGCATCTCGTTTGCCAGGGCAGGTCGGGGACGCACAATTCGAGTGCTGCAGTTGTACTGCAGGGAGCGTGTTGTGTGCTGCAGTTGTACTGCAGGGAGCGTGTTGTGTGCTGCAGTTGTACTGCAGGGAGCGTGTTGTGTGCTGCAGTTGTACTGCAGGGAGCGTGTTGTGTGCTGCAGTTGTACTGCAGGGAGCGTGTTGTGTGCTGCAGGGGCAGGGAGCGTGTTGTGTACTGCAGGGAGCGTGTTGTGTGCTGCAGGGAGCGTGTTGTGTACTGCAGGGAGCGTGTTATGTGCTGCAGGGGCAGGGAGCGTGTTGTGTACTGCAGGGAGCGTGTTGTGTGCTGCAGGGAGCGTGTTGTGTACTGCAGGGAGCGTGTTGTGTGCTGCAGGGGCAGGGAGCGTGTTGTGTGCTGCAGGGAGCGTGTTGTGTGCTGCAGTTGTACTGCAGGGAGCGTGTTGTGTGCTGCAGGGGCAGGGAGCGTGTTGTGTACTGCAGGGAGCGTGTTGTGTGCTGCAGGGAGCGTGTTGTGTACTGCAGGGAGCGTGTTGTGTGCTGCAGGGGCAGGGAGCGTGTTGTGTGCTGCAGGGAGCGTGTTGTGTGCTGCAGTTGTACTGCAGGGAGCGTGTTGTGTGCTGCAGGGGCAGGGAGCGTGTTGTGTACTGCAGGGAGCGTGTTGTGTGCTGCAGGGAGCGTGTTGTGTGCTGCAGGGAGGAGCGTGTTGTGTGCTGCAGGGAGGAGCGTGCGAGTGCTGCAGTTGTACTGCAGGAGGAGCACGAGTGCTGCCGTCCGTGCTGAGCAGGGAGACCGCGGGGAGGGCGGGTGATGACGCAGCGCCACGGTGGGGGGGGGTGATGACGCAGCGCCACGGGGGGGGGGGGGGTGATGACGCAGCGCCACGGGGGGGGGGGGGGGGTGATGACGCAGCGCCACGGGGGGGGGGGTGATGACGCAGCGCCACGGGGGGGGGGGGGTGATGACGCAGCGCCACGGGGGGGGGGGTGATGACGCAGCGCCACGGGGGGGGGGGGGTGATGACGCAGCGCCACGGGGGGGGGGGTGATGACGCAGCGCCACGGGGGGGGGGGGGTGATGACGCAGCGCCACGGGGGGGGGGGTGATGACGCAGCGCCACGGGGGGGGGGGGTGATGACGCAGCGCCACGGGGGGGGGGTGATGACGCAGCGCCACGGGGGGGGGGGTGATGACGCAGCGCCACGGGGGGGGGGTGATGACGCAGCGCCACGGGGGGGGGCGTGATGACGCAGCGCCACGGGGGGGAGGGGTGATGACGCAGCGCCACGGGGGTGGGGGTGATGACGCAGCGCCACGGGGGGGGGGGTGATTGACGCAGCGCCACGGGGGGGGGGGGTGATGACGCAGCGCCACGGGGGGGGGGGGGGGGGGGTGATGACGCAGCGCCACGGGGGGGGGGGGGGGGTGATGACGCAGCGCCAAGGGGGGGGGGGGGTTGATGACGCAGCGCCACGGGGGGGGGGGGGTGATGACGCAGCGCCACGGGGGGGGGGGTGATGACGCAGCGCCACGGGGGGGGGGTGATGACGCAGCGCCAAGGGGGGGGGGGTGATGACGCAGCGCCAAGGGGGGGGGGGGGGTGATGACGCAGCGCCACGGGGGGGGGGTGATGACGCAGCGCCACGGGGGGGGGGGGGTGATGACGCAGCGCCAAGGGGGGGGGGGTGATGACGCAGCGCCACGGGGGGGGGTGATGACGCAGCGCCACGGGGGGGGGGGGTGATGACGCAGCGCCAAGGGGGGGGGGGGGTGATGACGCAGCGCCAAGGGGGGGGGGGGTGATGACGCAGCGCGCCACTTCCGCCTCTGACGCGGCGGAAGTGGCGCGCGGCGTGAGAAGGGCCCCCCCCCGCCGCTCGCCATCAACGCGGCGCCGACGCGAGCAGCTGACGGGGAGCCGCGGCCGCGGCGTCTGCGCCTTGTCCGTGTGCGGTCCGTGTCGGGAGCGCGAGCTGACGGGGCGACAGGAAACCCCGCGGCATCGAGGGGACGTCGCGCGCCAGGGGCACCACCACCTGCCCCGTGAGGGCCTCCTGTGGCTCCCCCCCGTCTCTCTCCTCCCTTCCCTGTCCCCTCCCGCGGGGCCATGGCGCGGTGCGAGGAGAAGGCGCCGCCCTTCTTCGAGAGTCTGGGCGAGGCGGCGCGGGAAGTCTTCACCAAGGGCTACGGTGAGCGGCGCCACTCACTCACGAAGCCTCGTCCGCGAGTGACGAAGCCAGGCGAGGAGGCCGTGGCACCGACTAATCGGCGCTGCCGTTCTCTCTCCCGCCGCAGGCTTCGGGCTCGTCAGGGTGGACTTCACGACCAGGGCGGCCAGTGGAGTGGTGAGGGCTGATGCGCCATGGAATGGCCGAGCGGATTTAACACAAAATAATCATTGGCGGCCTTGTGGGCAAGACGAGAAACAAGAACAAGCAGACTCCACGTCTTTGTACACAGACACAGCGACGTATACCGCACACAGCCCATCACACGCGATGCAAGCAAGTCGAACTATGCTGATGAGACTAAGTGGTGAGACGAGGCAATATGGGAAGAGGGGATGAGCGATGTCTTTCCCTTGCGAGCGAAATGCGCCAAGACGCACGAAGCCTCGCCGAGAGAGAGAGCTTCGCATCGGACTCTGCGGAGGGTGTCGAGATGACGACGACCACGGCTCCACCGCCTCTCTCTGTGCCCCCCCCACCACCACCCCCCACCACCACCCCCCACCACCACCCCCCACCACCACCCCCCACCACCCCCCACCACCCCCCACCACCACCCCCCCCACCACCACCCCCCACCACCACCCCCCACCACCACCCCCCACCACCACCACCACCCCCCCACCACCACCACCACCACCCCCCCACCACCACCACCCCCCCACCACCACCCCCCCACCACCACCACCCCCCCACCACCACCACCCCCCCACCACCACCACCCCCCCACCACCACCACCCCCCCACCACCACCACCCCCCCACCACCACCACCCCCACCCCCCCGGGCAGGAATTCAACACCCGCGGGGCGTCCCACACGGAGTCTGGCCGCGTGAGTGGCGCCCTGGAGACGCGCTACCGCTGGCCCGAGCGCGGCCTGCGCCTCGTCGAGTGCTGGAGCACCGACAACTGCCTGGGGACCCGCATCTCGGTGGACGACCAGGTGCGACGTGCGGCCAGGGGAGGCAGGGGGGGGGGGGGCAGAGCCTCACCTGCCATGCGACAATGAAAATAGCTGTTACGAAAAGTGTAAAAAAAATTAAAAAAATATTAAGATTTTTCCACTGATCTGTGTTATAAATGTCATTTCTGTACGATTACAATCATTTTTATAGTCAAAATCGCCAAATTTGCAGAGCTCCGCTGCAAATACAGGAAGAGACGAGAGGTGAGGCAGCGACGAGCTCAGCCTCCCCTCTGATTGCGCAACCCCTCAGTAACTAGGTGGAGCGCGGGCAATAAGCGCGTGCCTGTTACTATCTCAGCATGTCACCAATGTCATGTTTGTAGACCCCTTCATGCTCTTTGGTTCTTTCGGTAAAGTCACGTAGGTATAAAATAAAATAAATCACGGCGTTTCGGGCGCAACGCAAGCGTCCACGCCCCCCTCGGTGAGGCCACGCCCCCCTCTGTGAATCTGTCTCTGGCACGAGCCAGTGCCTCCCCAGCCATTGACCTCACCGCACGTCACTGCTGCTCACCGCTGCCGCTACACACGCCTCACTGCTACACACACAGCAGCGATTCACCGCTAAGCAGTGCGAACTCGGCTGGGGGCAAAGGGACATTTTGGCGGTGCAAGGACTCGGCCCAGCGACTAATCACGCCGGCGCTGCTCGCTATCACAGGCATACCTCGTGTGTTCATTCTAGATTTGAAGCTTTCGTGACTGCAAGGATTAATACTCTTAGTTCTTTCGGTAAAGTCACGTAGGCAAAAAATGAAATTAATAAAAATAAAACAATAAAAATAATGACGTTTCGGAGGCAACACAAGTCTCCGTCATCAGGTGGGACCGTCACAGCCGGATTTGCTGCATCAAGTGGCAAGGATTCAAGATGTAATCCCTTAAATGCAAGTTGAGGGGGGAGGAGAGGGGGGGGGAGCTCATCAGAATGTGGTAGCCAATGAATGGAACGTATCGGGAGGGAGGGGGGCAGGGCTAAAAGAAGGCACGAAGTGCTACGTAGAACGTATCGGGAGGGGGAGGGGGGCGGGGCCAAAAGAATGCACGAAGTGGTACACGAGAGTCGGCGGCGTGGACGTGGTTGTGCGCAAGCAACTACTGCTGCACACGCCAACGTATTGGACGGAGAGGGGGCCAAAAGAGAGTGTGGGGTGCAAGTGTACGTGGACATGTGTATGTACAAGCACCTGTTGATACACATGATAGAAAAGAACGAAAATGCCCATGTTTATACCAGTGCTGGCTGAACAATAAAGAGAGTACTGTTAAACACTGGGGATGTTAACACTCGGTAAAGTAAAGTAAAATAGTGCCTGTCAGATAAGATGGTCCAAAAATGTGTAATTAAGTCTTTTTTGCATGGTTGATAACATCTTTCCAATGATTACTAAGTTTGTACCCATCATCACGGTTGAAATTATGTCTGTGTTTGTATATCTGAATGGCTTCGTGTACAAACCTTTGATGGTAGCCAGAAGGCTTGCAGAGCACCTTAGTCTCGGAGAAAACAATGTCATGAGAGCCCACCGCGTTGTAGCAATGATCGGCACCGGCGGACGACTCAATTTTGCCGTGTTTCAAATCTGACTTGTGCTCGCGGACACGATCAGAGACATGACGTTTCGTTTCCCCAATGTAAGTCACCACAGCTGCAACTCAGTTTATAGACTCCAGGATATTGCAAGTCAGGGATGACATCCTTCACAGATGGAATTAGATCACGGATTTTATGTACTGTACTGAATCGGACTTGGATCTTGTGTTTGTTTAGAATTTTGGAGATCTTTTTGGTCACGCCTGCTATGTATGGTAACGTGACAGTTTTGATCGGAGTTTCAAGTGGCTGTTTCTGTATGGTGGGAGAAACAGCTTGGCGGATGGTGCGTTCAGAGTATCCGTTCATCCTGAGGGCCCGATGTACATGTCTCAATTCACTGGCCAGGTGGTGTTGGTCAGAAATGCCATGAGCTCTCCACAGAGCCATGAGCAGGCGTGACCAAAAGATCTCCAAAATTCTAAACAAACACAAGATCCAAGTCCGATTCAGTACAGTACATTAAATCCATGATCTAATTCCATCTGTGAAGGATGTCATCCCTGACTTGCAATATCCTGGAGTCTATAAACTGAGTTGCAGCTGTGGTGACTTACATTGGGGAAACGAAACGTCATGTCTCTGATCGTGTCCGCGAGCACAAGTCAGATTTGAAACACGGCAAAATTGAGTCGTCCGCCGGTGCCGATCATTGCTACAACGCGGTGGGCTCTCATGAAGTTGTTTTCTCCGAGACTAAGGTGCTCTGCAAGCCTTCTGGCTACCATCAAAGGTTTGTACACGAAGCCATTCAGATATACAAACACAGACATAATTTCAACCGTGATGATGGGTACAAACTTAGTAATCATTGGAAAGATGTTATCAACCATGCAAAAAAGACTTATTTACACGTTTTGGACCATCTTATCTGACAGGCACTATTTTACTTTACTTTACCGAGTGTTAACATCCCCAGTGTTTAACAGTACTCTCTTCATTGTTCAGCCAGCACTGGTATAAACATGGGCATTTTCGTTCTTTTCTATCATGTGTATCAACAGGTGCTTGTACATACACATGTCCACGTACACTTGCACCCCACACTCTCTTTTGGCCCCCTCTCCGTCCAATACGTTGGCGTGTGCAGCAGTAGTTGCTTGCGCACAACCACGTCCACGCCGCCGACTCTCGTGTACCACTTCGTGCATTCTTTTGGCCCCGCCCCCCTCCCCCTCCCGATACGTTCTACGTAGCACTTCGTGCCTTCTTTTAGCCCTGCCCCCCTCCCTCCCGATACGTTCCATTCATTGGCTACCACATTCTGATGAGCTCCCCCCCCCTCTCCTCCCCCCTCAACTTGCATTTAAGGGATTACATCTTGAATCCTTGCCTCACTTGATGCAGCAAATCTGGCTGTGACGGTCCCACCTGATGACGGAGACTTGTGTTGCCTCCGAAACGTCGTGATTTTTATTGTTTTATTTTTATTAATTTCATTTTTTACCTACGTGACTTTACCGAAAGAACTAAGAGTATACCTCGTGTGCTCGCTATCCATCCACGCATTACTCACGAATACACACGTACGTCTTCTTGGTTCTTACGGTAAAGTCACGTAGAAGGGAAATAATAAAATATTAAAAATGAAACATAAAATACAATTCTCACGAAGTTTCGGCCACAACGCAAGCAGCCGTCGCACAGCACGTGCACAAGGATCTGTGTAAACATCCATCATTTTCTGTGTGCACATTTCTTAAACATTATTTACATTATTCTAAACACAGGTGGGGCAACAACGCTGATTACAAATGGGTGGCGTGGGCTTCCGGGATTATCTTGCCAGAGCCAACTTCCATCCAAAAACTGCACGTTTCCGAATACACATCGCGTTTGTGTTTATTTATTATGTGTTATGTCCATAATAGAGGTTTTTTTTGGGTTAGATCGCGTAAATATATAAATGTGTCGTTAAAACCCGCCACTGCCCGACACAGCCAACTAGTAAGGGTTGTCACATAAACAGAACGTGCCAATTCGTCACTAGTACAGCACACCGGGGTGTTGGAGAGCAAAGCCACAACATTTACAATGTTTTATGTGTTTATATTGTTTTTTGTTCATTACTGTCTTGTTTAGTACATTATCGTGTTCATTATTAAGCATTTGCACTGGTTTCAGTTTATCCTGTCACGTGGTTTTGTTCTGCTTTCTATTTGCTTCATTTGTGTATTTTGTTATTTTGGTGACCCAGGTCGCCCTTGGAAATGTGGCTTATCCTGGTCTCTTCGTTAAACAAATTCACCCTCAAACGCAATACAAGACAAGGCACACTAGAGTAACATGCGAAATTTTAGAGAATATTGAATTGAACTGTTACCTTGAATTGTGGATATTCATCACAAACCGAAGGATACATGACACCAAACTTGTCCAACCTCGTGAGTAGGCCACGGCTTACCTGCCATGTGCGTACATGCAAAGTATAGCTGCTATGTACTTCAAGTGCTTGTTTGTCTTGCAGTTGGCAAAGGGGCTGCAGTTGGTTTTTGACACAAGTTTTTCTCCAAACACTGGGTAAGTGACGTTTATGTGTGTTTATATTGAAGTCTTCACAGTCTTTAATGCTTGAGAGGTTTAATGAAATATTTAATTGATCCAACTTTGGAAAGCCTAACAAACTGTTCGGTGAAGAAGCTGAGTTGCGACTGCAGAAGCGGTAATCGGTTGTGGCCTTCGTATGGTCGTGTGCTACACAGCGAGCTTGAGAAGGATGCAGCGTGGCGGTAAGGGATGATGAAGGATGGTCAGAAATAATAAGTGGCAGCCAAGTAATGCAGTGCATCCGTCGGGACATTCACCGAAGAGATGCAGCGATGAAATAAGTTCAAGTTTAGTTAATGGGTGTATTGTGGCAGTGCAAGACCGTGAGAAGTGAAGGCAGTGGCTTAAGGAAGCTTCCACTCAGCAGTGGGCAGCAGGATGGTGGCAGTCAGGAGCAACACCCGCACCGCACAGCGAGAAGGTCCTGAGTGTGTTCTACCCCCTGTTCTGCGTGGATCTTCTCGCTTATCCGGTTTCCTACCATAGCTGAAAACTTACAACATAACTGGTGTTGGACATAAATCCCAATGCTAAAAAAATACCTGCAAATTACTCAATTGGGACAACACATAGCAGAAACATCGCCTACTACCACGACAACTTGGCAGGACCCTCAATGAAAAATTGTCTTGAGACTCAGTGTGACTTTCCTGGAGCAACAAGTGCAATAATAACAAACTGTTGGTTGAGTGTATTTATAATTATGGATGATGGTGAGACCTACATTTCTGCAGTGATTTTGCTGTCATTAATTTGTATTTTATCCGTGAATGTAGCAAGAAGACTGGGCTGGTGAAGGTTCTATATGCACGACCATTTGTTTCGGCCACAACGGATGTGGATGTGTCCTTGGAAGGGCCCATTGTGGCCAGCTCCGTGGTGCTCGCAGCCCGAGGCTGGCTCGCCGGGTACCACATGGGGCTCGACGTTGGCAAAAGGAAGATCACTTCTAACCGCATTTCGCTGGGATACATGACCGAGGACTTCCAGCTTCTTACCAACGTGTACGCCCAGTGTGCGTCTGCCACGTGGCCAAGTTGTGTGTTGAGACATGTTGTGTTCTATGACGGAATCAGGATGACGTTCAATGGGATGGGAAACGCTGGTTTCTCACAATGTGACGTGGTTTCAAGAGTAACAATACAGGACGTTTCAGCGCAGGGTGATGCAATACAATGTCTATTGTACACCCGTAACACACTCGGAATGTGTTCCTGATTTCAGAATGATCTTGAGAATCTATTAATTTGGCCTACAGAGTAAATTTTGGATGATTAGACAATGTTTTGGTTTAATCTGAAAACCAAAGTTACGCCACTGATGTTGCGTCAGTTCTGCGGGCGTCACGTGACATTGGGTGACATCGCTTTTGAGCATAAGCACATTACATCAGTCACGTGATTTCCCACTCAAATGACCTATTATCCACTGCTCATCTATTGTTTACAATTTTGACCCAGTAGTGGAAATTACTCATTCTTATGGCAGGGCTAAGTCTATCTTTAAGACAACCACTGTTTTCTTACCCCACAAAGAGGTACTCATTGTATTGCCTTGGCAGTATGATGGGCCAACTCAACCCCCAACCAGGATTTGGACTGGCAACGTTCCAGTTGTTAGGCACTTGCTCTGCTCCTGAACCATCCAGTCAGATTATAGTACACGATGGTAATTATCCAAAAATACAAATGGGTTACAAAGTTTCCTTAGAAATTTTAAAATCCGAATTTTTTATGTTCATGAAAATCATCCCTGCTCCATGCTATTGTTGCTGTTAACATTTGTAGCCAACACGTGCTTGGCTTCCACTACGCGTGTTTGCAGAGTTGACGGAGTGGAGTTTTCGGGTTCCTATTTCCAGCGTGTGAGCGAGCGGCTCGACACGGCTGTGCGTCTGGCCTGGAGTGCCGGTGCCCCCCACCCACGCTTCACTTTGGGGGGCACCTACAAGATCGACCAGAATGCCTCCGTGTCGGTACTCACTGCCCCACATGCACCGCACGTTTGTAAAGGGTGCTTGCACTAGGCAGGGTTGAAATGGACTTGGCACACACTTGGGGATGCAGCATGATAGTTTTATTTGCTGAACATTCAGGTGATTTTAAAGACATGAAAACACAAGATAACAGCTCTTCGGTCCAAAAATTATAACGTTTTAACTGTCGCCAGAATAAAAACCCGAACAGGCACTTTCGCTCGGACACGGAGCTGCTTCAGCATGGAACGATCTACCAGACTCGCCGACATGTGCCGCCAGTCTCATCAAATTTAAATATTTTATTATAACTCACTCGCACAACATCTGCATCTGTTACAACGATGTCAGCAGTCGTGCTTTTGTTGCAGGGGAAGATGAACAGTGCAAGCCTGCTGGGACTGAGCTACACACAAGCCCTGCGGCCTGGTAACTTCTAATTGTGCACGGTTCCACAGCCTACACGTGCCGAGGTGCCTTGGTGAAGCGTGACGTTCACTTGTGTATGTGTGTGCGTGTAGGAGTGAAACTGAGTTTCTGTGGACTACTCGATGTAAAGAATATCAACTCTGGCGGTCACAAACTTGGGCTGGGCCTGGAGCTGGAGGCTTAGTCTCGTCATGGCCGGAGGGCGGTGCGCGCGTGATGCACACGTGCAAGTACACGCGTGCGACGCGGGTTCCGACACAGGGCTCATATTTGCACGTTAAGGAATTTTGCACATGTATATATACTCCTTGCAATTAGCACGGTTGGCTACATATGATGTGAAAGCATTTCAACATGCATACACATGGATATGTGGATACATAAGGAGACCCTAATCTCTGTCGATACACTACGGTTAAAACAATGTTATAATGTGAATAATTGCACAGTTTATATACATTCTTTGTTTCTGGAACTTATATAAATCTATGTATAAATGCTACAAATGTAAACTGATGCGAAATCAAATATAACATTCCTGTGCACGATAATAAATGTCCAAACGTGTTAAATCTGGGGCGATTGTACATTAAAAACTAAACGGTTTTAGTGAATTGTGCAAGGTTATGTGATTGCAGTATATGGAATTGTGGGAATGTAAACTGTTCCGCAGTGGCTAATCTTTCGCAGTGTTGTGATGAGCAGTGTAAACTAAACCTCCAACAGTGGTCTCCACTGTCGGGTGAATGGCCCCCCACACCACCAACACCCGCTCGGTGGTGCTGCTGCTACAGTGGACCTCGCACCCGCAAACGTGGTCCTCACTCCGTTTCTCATTGGACATATTCGCAGGCTTGCTGCCTCAGTATAAATCCAAGTGTGTATCTCTCCGTGCTTGGCACACTTTCCAAGTTGTGTTTTGTTGGCAGTATCTATGTTTGTGATCCACACTTAATAAGAAATTCGGTGAAGAACCCCTGTTAATTCATGTCCTGCTGTATACTTTGTGGCGTGCTCTAAAAGCACTGGCTGCTGCTGTCCTTGCATTAAAGCATTTATCCGACAAGCATTGTCTTTTTTTTATTTTATTATGTTGTATTTTTATTATTTTATTATTTCCCTTCTACGTGACTTTACCGAAAGAACCAGGAAGAAGCATTGTCTTGCAAAATTCTCATAGCGTTTAACGAAAAAGTTATTTCCTCCATTATGCTTAGGCTTAGCATGTATGTATGTTTCACTTCTTTCACACCGTACATAGCCAACCGTCTTAATCAGAGCTGCAGGGGACAGACAAGAAACTAAACACGAAGTAGTTCTCAAGAAATTAGTTTTAACTCTGGATCTTGAATTGCATAGCTCCAGTGGCTTCCTAATATCGGAAGGAAGATCATTCGAATGCACGTGATGCAGTGACCATCTTTGTTCGATGGCTAGCCCAAAGTACTGCGAGGATCAGAATCCGTGTGGTGGTTTACGTTCCTTGATGAGATAATCAAAGTACAGTATTGTGGATCATTTGTGGCAAGCACTTTTTGTGTCCGAGTGCGACCTTATGTATTCGTTGGACAACTGGAAGCTAATGCAGCTTCGCGAGCACTGGACAGACATGGTCGGATCTTGCAGTACCCGTCACAACACGTGCCAAAGAATGTTGTACATGCAGTTTGGTCATGTTTTGGCAGACATCCCGTCGAGTAGTGAGTTGCAATAATCAAGGTTTGTTGATACTATTCTACATTCCACCGTGTTGGATATTTCACGACTCGATAGTGGTCGAATGTGTCGTAGACGCCTGATATGAAAATTGCAAGACCTGACTTTTGCACGTCGTGATCAAATTACATTTTGGTCGAATATGGTGCCGAGGCTCGATAGATGAGTAGAAAACGGAATCCTGGAGTCTGTGACTGCCACACCTGATTCTCCCACAATTTTTCTTTGCCTGAGCCTAAGTGCCAACTAGCAGAACTTCCGAACAAAAGCTGTTTAGGCATGACCCAGCCAACTCAGCCTTGCCTGCCGGAGGAGCTCACCGATGGGACTTTGTCTAGATCTTTCAAGGATATGTGAGCTCCTCACACAATCCAGCCTGGTTAAACCCAGGATGGATTGTAGGCAGGCCAGCCTAAATGTTTCTAACCGGCGAAGATGTTCCATTAGGGGGGGGGGTCCATGTTTTGCAAGCGTAGAGAAGGGAGGGAATGACTGTGGCCGAGAAGACCTGAAGTTTCGGGTGAAGCGACAGACCAGGTAGCTTCCACACAGCGTTACGCAACCGATGCAAAGATAATGGAAATCGACTGATTCGGAGTGAGCCCTTTGCTGTCAAACCGGAGCCGGTCACGAGCACATTGCCCAGGTATAGGAAACTCCACTCTCCACAACTGCCCTATCACCAATTGGGAGTTGTGGGGGTGGAGTGTCCGATGGTACAAAATACCCAGGCAGGTGCTTAGTTTTGGTGGGGCTGATGGTAACTCCCCACCTCTTAGTGGAAAGCTCCAGATTCAGCAGCAGCGCCTCCAACTCCTCCTCTGAGTGAGCAGCAATTACCAGATCATCGGCATACATAACATGGTTGAGCAATAGGGAGCCATCCCTTGACCGCACCCGGGGCATCGATCAGCCTCCCATTGTATCTGTACCAGATGGAAATTCCTCCAGTACAGCGATTGAAGGTTTCACGAACTACGTGGTCGAAATAGATGTTCATTAATGTGGGAGCCAGAGGACATCCCTGTCGCACCCCAAAGTGAACAGGGAATGGCTCCGACTCCCGGCCACGTAGTTTTACCCAGGCCCGCTCACCATCATGAAGGTCCTTAATGATCGTGATCAGCAGGTCAGGGACTCCCAAAGCACGAAGAATAAATCAGAGCCCAGGCCTACTGATGGTATCATAAGGCCTTGACCAGGTCAATAAAGCAGAGATGTAGGTTTTATATAGTCACACGCACTTATTCACACTCAACAAACAAACTCCACGAAGGAAGGCAGTGAAATTAGGAATCGAACCCAGACCATTCTTGTTGTGATGCCAACGTGTTACCAAATACACCACCTTTCCACCCAATGTAAACGAAAGGTAAAATAGGGCTTGGTTATGTGCTAAGGATTAGGAAAAGGGAAAGTGCCAGGTGAGATTATTGCTTTTTAAGTATGGTGAAGGTTGGTACTCAAACTAAAATCTGAATAGTGTGGTTAAGGTTAGCCTTTGATTAGTGTAATTAGGATCAGTGACAGGCCTTATTTTGAAGTCTGTTTTGATGGGTGGTACATGGGGTAATAGCAAGAAGATCCTGGGTTAAATGCTCAACTTGGGTACCTTTCATTGTGCAGTTTATATGTTCTCCCCCTGTTCAGCATGCGTTTCCTTCTATACCTAAACAACACTCCTCACACAATGCATTTGGTGTTGATCAAACATTCCAATGCTGAAAAAATACCTCCAAATGACTCAATTGGGATTATGCATAGCGGCAGTAACATTTCCCCCCGACTGTTAAAATTTGGCAGGACTCTCCTGAAAAAGGGTCTTGAGACTCGGTGTGGTTTTCCCCGGTAAACACGTATAATTAATAATAATTGTAAGGAGTAGAGCTAATGCTAATGTCTGGATATGTTAACCCTCAGTCAAAACTTAGGTCATCTGTGGCTTAGCTGGAATCATTAAATTCCCTTTTCACTATTCATCACTATGATGGGTAGTAGAAGAGGTGGCTTGGAGGCTCAAAGTTCAAATCTAGGCAGCCAACAGTTATTATACTGGGTTCTCTAATGTCGTGAGTTAATACTCTCATCTCGGTCAACAATGATCACTTAACGTATGAATGTTGAAATTCTTTCGCATGCTAATGAATATTTTAATGCGCAAAGAGAGTTGGAAAGTGACGCTGTTTCATTTGTGGATCAGAGGTGGCCGAAAGAGATAAAAGATGTGATATCCGCTTTTGTGGGTCAGTCATAACCCTAAACCTTCCGGGGCCAGTCATTAACCTTACATTCATGCTCGGAAGTGCTCGTGCCACTAATTGTCCATCTGGCAATGTTTTTGTTTAGTGGGGGCTGTTTCCCAAACTGGTAAAAAAAAATATGGTTTAAAAGGTCGCAGGTAAAACCGCTCCTGAAGAATGTTGGCTTGAGCTATTGTGATCCTGTAAACTATCGTCCGATCTCAATCCTGAGCGGTTACTTACCCACATCGCTCCGATAGGGAGATTCAACCGGTTGCAGTTGGCATACCGGAAGTTCCACAGCACTGAGGCGGCTCTACTAAAGATCCCCAATGACCTCTACAAGATCATGGATGACAGGTGTGCTGAATAGTTGGCTGCCCACTATCTCTCAGCCGCCTTCAACATCAACGACCATGAGATACTCATCGGGTGGCTAAGATTAAGGTTCGGTGTATCAGGTATGGTACTTGGGTGGATTGAGTCATACTTATTTAATGACAATAGAGCCTGCATGCGGTGTGAGGGGACTAGTAGCCACGGGAGGTGTAATGACAGGGAGGTCAGCCTCCAGTACAAATGCACTCGTGGCCACGGTAGGTAATGATGGGTATCAGTTGTGAGTGCGGAGGGACTGGTGGCTACGGGAATGTTCGAGAAGGGAGCGTGGTGAGACGACGGAAAGAGGACGGTAGAGTCTGCCGGTAGAGCGTCTTGAGTCAGCGAGAATGATCGAGAAGGGGAGCGTGGCCTCGGTTGGTATATAGATGGGATATGCGCGGGAGACTTTGGGCTGTTTCAGTGGGATCTACGCCTGATGTCAAGTGAACGTGTCTTCAATAAAGTGCTATCTCAGGAGTAGTGTGTCAAGTCATCATTACACGTACATGGTCGATCATAGTTCGTCAAGCTGGGTGACGAACAGTCGTTACCTTTGCTGTGCCTCGGTGGCGTACTACAGGGGTCCATCCTCAACATGCGTCTCTCCAATCGCTGATGTCATCTCATCGCATGACATAAAGTTCCATCAATATGCTGATGGTGCACAATTGTACACTGCAGTGAAGTCAAAGCCTTGGTAACCTTGAAGATTGCACGTGAGCGGTGCACGTGTGGTTTTCACAAAACAAAATGCCGCTTAATCCAGTAAAATAAAAAGTTCTGCTGGTTGGTGCTCAGGCGAAAACAGTTGTGGGAGGATCCATGTTTTAATATTAGGTCTTAAAGACACATTTGACCACTATTGAGACATCACATAGCCAAATAGTAGTATAGTATCGCAAAGGCTCGATTATTCCGACTCACTACTTTCCGACACATCTGGAAAAAACATTAGCAAGCTACAGCGTGTACAAAACTATTTGGTAGGCGTCATGACGGGTACTGCAAAATCCGACCATGTCTGCCCAGTGCTCATCGAGCAGCATTTTCAGGTTGCGCGCATTACATACAAAGTGCTTGCCACAAATGAACCACAATATCATCAGGGAGCATAAACCATCAAGCAAACTCTGGTCATCCTCCCAGCAGCTTTTGGCTAACCATCGAACAAAGACGGTCGCTGCATCGCACGCTTTCAGATGTACTTCTGTAGCCGTCTGGAATGTTCTTCCTTCCGATATTAGAAAGTCTCTGGAGCTACGCATTTCAAAATCTGAATTGAAAATTCATTTTCTTTAGAACTGCTTTCAGTGCTTAGTTTGTTGTCCTTCACCCGCACCTCCAATGAGCATGGTTGGCTATTTACGGTGCGAAAGAAGATCAACATACACACACCAACATGGACACTCGCTAAATACCCTAACCAACATGGACACTCGCTAAATAACCTAACCAACATGGACACTCGCTAAATACCCTAACCAACATGGACACTCGCTAAATACCCTACCCATCATGGACCCTCGCTAAATACCCTAACCAACATGGACACTCACTAAATACCCTAACCAACATGGACACTCGCTAAATACCCTAACCAACATGGACACTCGCTAAATAACCTAACCAACATGGACACTCGCTAAAGAACCTAACCAACATGGACACTCGCTAAATACCCTAACCAACATGGACACTCGCTAAATAACCTAACCAACATGGACACTCGC